ATCTTAAAATCGCTAGTTGTGTTTTGCAGTGCTACTTTAGCAGCAGTTTTCTGTAGCCTGAATGACAGCAAACAGTCAAGACGCAAACAAGTGGATACTGCTATTCAAAAGACTTGTCTCAGTAATTATAAACTTATTTTTAATTGGCTTCATTATTCACAGCTTTTCGTTTTGTAACTTTTTCTCTTTCATTCATGTGGTAGTGTTTAATCATTGTGTTATCCAGTTGTGACCAAGAAGCCACTGCTGTTATTATGAAAAAATAAAGAACTGTAGTTCATGGGAAGCCGTAAAAACTTGGTTTGGCAGAAAATACTTAATTGTGCTACCATATTGGTGGAAGACGATTCGACGAATCCCAGTCGGTCGATCGGCGATTAGTGGCTCAAGTAAGCTCAAGTAACCTCCGTGATCTTTTTCCAGCTTTTCGTCTCGGCGGTCGCTATGCGTATCTGTGGATTGGCATTCTGTTTTTTGGCATCTCGTTCGAAACCAGGTTCCTCTACATTGCTTCGCAGAATTACATCTGGCACGCGCAGTCGATACTGACGTTTTTTGGACGACGCGTGCCGACATATATCTTACTGTTCCAGCACCCAGTATTTGATTTCACGGCGGTCATCGCTGCAAAAAGGTATGCTCCTTTTTTCTTGTAGCATAATCGCTTTGGGATCCTTTATAATGCATCGCAGAACTTTCTCTATCGCCTTGCAGCTTAAAGTGTAATTATTTCAGGAAATGCTTGTTCATCCTGGTAATAGTTTTATGCCTCCAAATAATTAAATATCCTTGTTCCCACATTAACAGTGAACACTTTAAAGCAGAGCTCAGTCGACAGCAGACAGCAGTAATAGCTGACTGAACCATATCTACTAACTGTAAATTTACACAAGCATGCTTAACCGTTCTGATCCATCAGCAAAGAAATTGCAGTATCATTGATACAGTTCACAGAGAAACCGCTTTTTCTATCGTAGCTGGCGTGCCGCATCATATTCTGCTTTTGAATAAAGATGAATGATTCCTCAGTCCGGACTTGCAGTCCAAGCAACGATACCGGTATTATCTCAGTTTTGGTAACCGCTTATTTTTTTGGGTCGCGGAGGCAGAAGCGTCAGATAGTGCCACAAGCGTTCCCGATACAGAGCCAGCTGTTGAGTTTCAGCAGAAATTGACCCGAGTCTGGAACAGAGTCCTTTGAGGCAGTTGTCCTAGGTTACTCTTGGCCTTCACCGTGGTCTTCCGCTGGTTAGATGGTCAAGTAGTGTCTTTTTCGCCTTCGGTTCTGAAGGCATTCGAAGGAAGTGTCCAAACCATCGTATCTCTGACTCTGATTCATCCAAACCATCGCATCGCATCTGTTTAATCTGGAGATACAGCGGCTGTATAGCAAGGCTCTTTCAGTAGATACTCTGTCTCTGAACTCCAAACTCTGTCGTTACATGTCCCAATAGTTCATATCAGAAGGTCCATTTCAGCCGCTTGTATATCCAGGTTCGCTGTTTATCAGTAATAGCCTACAACTCATAACCACAGGTAAACATGGTGATGAAGATCTTGAATATAGTCAGCTTCCTACTCAGTCCTGCTATAGTCACAACGTTTCATGGTGGTTCACGCAGAACGTCACTGGCTATCCCAATTCGCAGCTCAGTATCTTCCGTTTTCTGTTCCTGTATGCACTATCCAAAGATACGTGAATTTAACCTGTTCAACCGCTTCTTTGTTGATCTACAGAACCAGCGAACAGAAGAGCTAGAAAAGGG